GTTTTACCTGGAGACACCAAATAAATATTTAATGAAACCCAAATCTTTTTGAGAATTTCTGAAAGTAAACATTGATCAAAGATATATAACATATTATATTATAACATATAACATATTATATTTATAATAATAGAAAACCTAGTTAAGTATAACAGATTATGAATCCTTCTCTGTAAAATAACTACCAAAAATTATTTTTGCAGATTCTTGAATTAATTTTAAAAAATCCTAATGGATCATGATATCAGTATTTTAACACAAAGCGTCTTTAAGAAAAGTGAAATCGGGGGCCAGTGCCAGGACATTGTAGGGCAAGCCTTTGCCTGTGTCACCAGACTCTTTCATGGGTGCCAGCTCATGTGCTGAATTCCCTACTTCCAATTTGGCTGCCTACTTACAGCCTGGGAAAACAGGTGCGGATGGCTCAAGTCCCTTGGGCCCCTGAACACATGTAGGAGATTTCAAACAAGTTTCTGCTGCCTGGTTTTGTATTGGCTCAGCTTCATTCATCTGGGAAATGAATCAGATGATGGAAAACTCTCTCTTTTTCTTTGTCCTTCTCTGTAACTTTTTCCTTTTCAAGGAAAAAAGTGAAATAGAATGGAAAAAGACAGATTAAGATGGAAAATATTAACCATGTAAGGATAAACTAAGGAGTAGATACTGTTTCGTGACAGCTTTGTTCAAATTTTGTACATTTTTGTATAGTCAGTGTAAAATATTCCTCTAGCTTCAGGCTATGGTCAAATCAATTGGAAACAATCTATTATCAAATAACTTTTAAAAACAGTGTTAAACTTCATTCTTTAACTGAGTTCAGTGTCTCAGATTTTGATGAACCAAAGCTTGTTTTAAAGATGAGTTATTATAAATCAGAAAAATGTAAGATGTGTTGTCCAAAATTTTTAAGTTAAGTACTCCCCTCCTTTATTGGAACTTTATCTTTAGTGTTAAAGTGCTAGAGACTTTCCTGTTGATTCACTTGTAATTTTTCAGTACAAATAAGCATGAGGTAATTTTCAGCCATTTTTAAAACTTTTTGACAGGTAAGTTTTGTTTTGTAGGAGTAAGTGTTTTTCTTAACAAAACAAAATTCATACCATTAAGAAATGTGGTCTCCTGATTGTTAATGAGACTCTGACAATACAGTTTCAAAATGAGATGAAGAAATTTTCAAAATGATTGACTTTCTGTTCTGAGCATAATTTAAATTGTTAGTGTCTATTTAAATTTCTTCAGTTGTTATTCAAAGATTAATAACTACAATCAGTCAGTATTGAAGACTGATGTTATTTTTATTCTTAGTAACTGGCCAATCATGTACATAATAATTGCACCTTGGTTTGGTATTCTGCTAAAGCTCAAAGGATTGATTCCCTCTTCATAAAGAGAACATTTTAATTGAGGATGTAAAATAGATCCTCATGAAAAATGTGTGTGTTTTTAAAAAAACGATTGCTGGATTTGAGCATCTGTACTCCAGAGAGACAGGGAGAGAAAGAGGAAACGCCTTTCATCTGCTGCTCACGTGCACAGGTGGCAGCTACTGGCTAAAGCAGGCAACCAGGAGCCAGGATCTTCTTCCTGGTCTACCACACTGGAGGACCAAAGCACTTGGGCCATTGGCCGGCAGTTGGATTGCAATTGGAACAGCCAGGACATGAACCAGTGCTCATAAAAATGCTGCCACTACAGGACATGCTGAGATCCACTGTGCCACAAAGCTGTGTCCATTAAGTACATTGTTGAAATTAGTGTATCAACACACACATATATACACACATGTACATATGAAATACATATTTGCATATGTGTGTACATATGTGTATGTATATGAATGTAGGAGTATATATAATTCTTAAGAAAATATCATTTGTGGTTGACTGAAGGGATTATTGAGCCAAATAGCATGGTAAAGACTGTAGAATTGTCCACTGTGTAGTTAGAGAAAGGAATCACAGTGATATTCAGTTATTTCGGCAAAGGTTGTAACAGAAGTTGCCTGGAGCTGCGTGGAAATGAAAAGATGAGTGTGCTTTCTGCTGGGAACGTTGCTTCAACAGAACTGCTGTCATGAGTTGAATCTGCACGTGAATCTTTCCTAACTTTGCATTTCTCTTTCTAAAGATAAAGAATCATTTGCACTTTTTTTTTTTGTTAGGGGAGATAGAATACTGGTCCTCTAATATTATTTATTCCCTCATGATCACTACCTATCACATACAAAAAAGAATTTGCAGATATGACTCAGGATGTGGCATTGAGATCAACAAATTGTCCTGGGCCCTCCAGTTGATCCAGAGTAGTCACACAGATCCTTTCAACGCAAAGGACCTTTTTGACTGTGTTCAGAAAAAGATGCCTTGATAAAGGAAGAAAGATTCAAATTGTGGAAAACATTTTATCTGTCATTACTAATTTTGAAGGTGGAGTGATGGGCTCGGAAACGTGGAATACTGGTGACCTTTAAAAACTGTGACTAACTCGCAGCTGGCAGACAGGAAAACATAGGGATCTCATTCATATACTCTGATGGCATTAAATTCTGCCAATTATCTGATAGAGCAAAGAAAGGTATCCTCCTCTGGAATAGGAACATGCCATGGGATATTTGGGTTCTAGCCAGTGAAGGCTTAAGTCAGTTTTTTGCTTTGTAGATGTGCTGAAGAGCACATTGGCTTTGTTCACTCCCTTAAGGTGGTATTAAGTCGTAGCACAGATCCTAATACTTTAAAGTATTCTTCCAAAACTAGTTTTTAATTTTTTGTGTGTGTCTTTTCAGAACTGGGGTTTTGACCCACTTGTACCTGACCCACAAGTTAGCTAATGATACACAAACTCTAGGTTAAACAATGATATACAGACTCTACCCTAGATCAAAACTTGGCCAACCAAATCATCACTGTCTTAGTCTGAACTTTGTGTTTAAAAGATCATGAGATAAGCCAGCACTGGATGCAATAAAGATGATACTAGGAGCGACCAGAGGGCAGTAGTGAGCAAGGAGTTAAAATGCAACCAGGCATGCGGAAGGAACAACCACTTTCAAGTCCCAGGTCCTATTTCACTCCTCATAGCTTCCTCTATCCAACTTGTCCTTTTAGATAATTTAAGGGAGTTTTCTTCACTTAAGGCATGTGTACTTACAGCATGAATATTCCCTTTATTAAAGCCAGTTTAAATGACTTACTGCAGGGCCCGGCGCGGTGGCACATGTGGTTAAGGTCCTCGCCTTGCACGCCTGGGATCCCATATGGGCGCCAGTTCTATCCCAGCAGCTCCGCTTCCCTTCCAGCTCCCTGCCTGTGGCCCGGGAAAGCAGTCAAGGACGGCCCAAAGCTTTGGGACCCTGCACCCGCGTGGGAGACCCGGAAGAGGCTCCTGGCTTCGGATTGGCATAGTATCGGCCGTTGTGGCTCATTTGGGGAGTGAATCATCGGACGGAAGATCTTCCTCTCTGTCTCTCCTCTCTGTATATCTGCCTTTCCAATAAAAACATAGCAAAAATAAAATCTTTTAAAAAAAAAATGACTTACTGCAGAGAATTCAGAGAGATGAAACTGAGTCAAAGATTAGGAGGAGTCAGAAAGATGGAAAAATAGTAAAAAAAAAAGGTCTTATGCTTATGATTTCATTTGTGGAAACACGTGCATAAAATTCTATTTAGAAATGGGTAACTAGGAATAATGAAAGCAAGGGAGTTAATGTGAAATGCTAAATGAGTTTCCATTCTCTGTGTTCAACAGTATCTTAGATTTGGGCTCATCAGTGGTTTTATTATTGTGTGCTTCAAATAGCTGATAATTATTTGATTTGTTGTAATGAGTACCACCATTGCCATAGTTATTTCGTCTTGTTATCTATCACTACCACTCACAGCCTTCTACAAGCGAAAGATTTTTATCACACTAGGAATATTGCAATCTTGAGTAGTTGTAGTTCTTACATGCTTCCTTTTTTTTTCCCCTTTCCCTACAGTCCTAAGCCTGGTCTGATCACATGCTCATTTTCCAACAATCTGAGCCAGCTTTCTCATATCTTTTCTGTCTAGTCTCTTCTAGACACAATCCTACAATGATCTTTTCAAATTCCTCTTACTGCTTCCTGAGTGAAAAACTTTAAATGATTCTATGACATTTATAGGCCCCTCCGTAGTATAGCTTTCAAGGTATTCTACAGGCTAGTTTCCACTTCCATTTATTATGCCTCATATCCCATTATGTTCCTACAGAAATCATCTTAACCAGCCAACTTGGCTCATTTAGAATCCCCTAAATATACTTCTTGGTGTTTTGCCAGTGTAATTTTTGTCGGACTCATTCCTCTCACCTTCAAAGTACTTACTCCCTGGCACACTTTTTCTATTCAAACCAAGTCCCTTTTTGTTCAGTGTCTTTCAAATCAGACAATGCTTTGCTTCTGGAATAGACTGTGCTCCTGTTCTCTGAGTCACAATGAAAAGGAAACTTCAGAGTTCCAAGAGAATATGATCAATGAGATCACATTTTCTTTATTCCCTATCTAATATGATGTCAGTTAATGTTTGGATTTTTCCAGTGTTGTATTCGTCTGTAGTCCTGCAACTACCAGGTTATTCTAGACTGGGTCAGACAGTCCAGGCCATCAGCTAAACAGGGTCAGACAGTCCAGGCCATCAGCTGGCAAGAGGCGTTTTGACCTGTTGTTTTGATTGCTTTTCCTGGATAGAGGTAGAGTGTTCCTGGTGAAACCAAATTGCAATCTCTGTACGTAAATGCCAGTCCCTTCAATCGATGGGGGAAACAAATGGCAACCCATCTCCCTGATCAGCATTCAGGGGCTTAAACAGAGAGTATAAACACAGAACTATAAGCAGCAGATGGGCTCATTATTCACTCTCAGAGCAGATCTGCAGGAATCTTCGAAGAAAGAATGATGTCATCTTACTGAGGGGTCTTGATAAAGCATAATGATCTTAACCTGTTCTGCCCATTTTATATAAGACTTTTTAAAAATCACAGATATGTAATTTTTAGAAATGATTACTAATTTTCCTGTGACTCTCCCAAAATATTCACTGTGTATTTCAAGCATTTGACCCTTCATGTGTGTGACACACTGGTTTCTGACCATCTGACCTGTTGTACATGGATGAGAAACCATGAAGGACTTGATGATCTCACCGTTTACTCTTCATCAGATTACATAGTGAGTTTAAAATAAAGCTTACTCTTGTTTTAATTCTGTAATAAATTATGAGTTTCTCTAAGTAGCCACTGCTCTTTATTTAAAAGTTTTTTCTTGAATGCACACAGGTGCCCAGCACCAGATTTGCCCAGATAGTGTTGGGAATTTATTATGAGTTCAAAGTTTAGGCTCAAGAATTGAGAGCCATTTTTTGTGTGTGTGTGTGTGAGGATTTATATAAATCCCATTGCTGCAATTCACATCTGAACAGAGAGAATTCCAAGAACTCTAACTGCACTAAAATGAATATCAGACAGTCTAGGCCATTCCATTCTTGATTTTAATTTTGCTAAATACTTACTTAACACAATTATCATTGTTTTTGAGTATCAGAATCGCTGCACTTTTTTCAGCTCATTAGCAACATGAATGCTAATCAGAATTGTTTCAAGTGAGGAGGGTAGGAAATCTGCTTGGAGGATCCTTGAGAATAACTGAAACAGTCTGTGGCAGCTATGAACTATAGGACTAATCCTGTGTGACATGGAACTCTCAAAAGTAGGTTATATCTTTTTTTGGAAAGCGCTTCAGTAACCTGAGACTCTAAGACAAGGTTAGACACTGTGTGAGATTCTTTGTACAGTTGCAGGACTAAAACAGTGACACCATTTCATGGATTTATAGGGGTGTTAGCTGCCCTATTCCCTTCACAGACATACCTGCACACTTCTACATTGTAATCACTTCCATACAAGGTATTCCTCTTAACATGTGTAAAGTGCAAGTTCAGATACTAAGAAAATGACCACAGTAAATTTGATCTAAAGAGAAGTAACTCCAATAAAACGGAATAGAGAATATAACGTAAATAAGATAAATAACAATATGAGTTATTCTATAGTGCCCTGTGTTATTCTGTAGGTTATTTCCTAGTTTAGTTAGTCTCACTCAGCCATAGGTGTATCTTCCTTACAAGTTAAGAGAGAAAAACTAAATTAAGGAAGAGTAACTGAAGCACAATACAGACTAGCCATGATCTTCAGTGCTAAATTGAAGTAAAAAGGAAGTCCTTTGCTGTTTCATGTCTTCATGAATGTTCTTTAATTGCTTTGGCATGTGAAGGAGAGGGAAGCACAGTGTTTAGCAGGGAGGAAGGAAAGAGTTTAAAGGTTATGCAATAATCTTACTAGCACACAAGAATAAATGAAGACTTTCTAAAAAGTTAACATTCACATTTCTAAATACTATAAATCTGTAAATCTAAATACATTAATCCAGAAGATGAAGAATCTGGAAGTTAATACTTAGTCTATGAGCTGCTGGTGTTGCTTTCATTGGTGATGATTGTGAGTTTATAACTCATTTTGCCTCTAAATGCCTCAGCAATTTTAGGAGCACAATTGCTTATTGTATGTTATGGGCATGATAAAATTAATAGGGTCAAGAATGACCATCACATAATGGAATAAAAATTATGTTGATGGATACAGATAAATTAGAAACTAATTAATTTGAAATTTGGGGGCTTGTGGGCACTTAGGCCATGCCACACTGACTGCTTCAGTAAGCAGCTGCATTGTTCAGCTCAAGTCTTTTGGGGACTGATCGACAGGTGGGCTGGGAGAGACGTGTCTCGTGTCATGAATACAGATGGCATCAGGAATACTACTTCTACTTTTTACAGTTATATCTTGTGAAATATTTTGTTTGTTTTCCAATTCGAATCAACTTTTTGGACTTTCAGTTTTTTATGTCGCAATTTGGTTGTCTAATTTAAGTTCTCTAGCATTTTCATGCTGTCCACTGCTTAATTAAGGAAAGTACTATTCTTAGATTAATAATAGATTAATAGTTCATACTTATTAGCAGTGACTGAGTAATGCCAAAGTGACTTCACTAGTATGTATTAATACCCAATAGTTTTGAATATTATTTTTATAAATGGCCAACTAAATGTTTGTGTTCCAATACTGTATTTGTGCTCAATATGTTTTTCAAAATGCTTACTTTATTTGAAACACATCTAAAGAGAATGAAAAAAAGAACTCTACCATTTGCTGGTTCACTCTCCAGGAAAGAGCAGGTCTTTGCTAAGCTTAAGCCTAGAGTTGAGAACTGAAGTTAGGTTTCCCATTTGGGTGGCAGGTATCCACTTAAGCCATCACTTTTGTCAGCTCTGCTAAACAGTAAAAAGAAACCACAATGTGTCAGGACTGGACATGTCCAAAGATTCTGATAATGGGATGTGGGGTCTCAGGTCACAATTTGACTACTGAGCCAAACATCCATTCATATTGTCAATGCATTTAGTTGCTTTTATAAATATACTCGGAATTTTTTAAATTTGTGTGAAGGTTACAGTTACAGATTAAGAGGAAGGAAAGGGAAAGCAAGAGAGATCTTCCATTCCTTGGTTCATTCCCCAGATGGCAGTGATGGTGAGCCAGGCTGAATCTGCATCCGTATGGGGTATTGAGTATCACAAGTGTTGGCTTTACGCGCTAGCCACAATACTGGTCCCTTACACACACTATTTATTTTTATTGGAATTAGAGATTAGAACATTTCCATGGATTTTTAAAATTTCTATAGCTGGGAATGTAAGTTATTAAGCAATTCTAACTTAATTTTTATTGTCAGAATTTAAGAGCTGAAACTGAAAGTGAATTCATTGATTTAGATCTAGGGATCAAATCCACAGGAAGCACACATCAATGCAGTCTTAACGAAAAGAACTAGATTCTTTGTCAGAATATGACAACAACATTTAGTTAGGGTCAATATCTGTGCCCCCCCCATTACAGCTTGTCTTAATTCATTTCTTTAAAAACGATTTCCTCATTTACAGAGATGAGATGACAGAGTAAGAGAAAATAATTTTACATGTGCTATTTACTTCTTTGAGAACCACAACATACAACTGAAAATCAATTTATTGTATAACCCAGCTGTTCCAGATCCTGGGAATATATATAGAGGCAGCAAAATCTGCATATGAGAAAGTAACCTGCAAACTTATATTTATAGCAACACAGTCCACAGTAGCGAAGACATAGAAGCAACCCAGATGCCTTTTGAAAGAGGAAAGGTACAAAAGCTGTGGTATATCTTCTCCATGAAATACTACTTAGCCACTGAAAGGAACAAAATTCTACCATTTGCAATAAAATGATTCCAATTGGAGACTGTTATGCCTAATGAAATAAGTCAATCTCATAAAAAAATCATATGACCTCTCTGATATAAGAAAATATTCATGCAACATACAAAACAAATAAATATGTAGGAAAACATGTATAAACATGTATTCTCATAGATGAACTGCATGTTGGTTGGAGACTAGCATTCCTGGAAATGAAGATACATTGCAGTATGTGTCACTGCTATTAAATAAAAGCACTGCCAATGAAACTGTTAAATATACCTTGACAATGTGATACTAGAGTTTCTACCATTGCATATAGACACAATACCATGATACACCTAACTACTAAAATGTAGGACTTGTGACTGTTGCTGAAAGAGTAGACTATTGTAATAATATGTGAAGAAACACTGTAGTGAGAGAATGGAAAGAGATAATTGGAAGTGGAGGGGTAATCCCTATAACTACAAAACTATATCATGAAAAACAATAATGATAATAAAAAGAAATGTTAATTTAAAATATCCTTAACATTGCTAGTTCTTAGAAATACTTCAATTCAATCCATATTGAAATATGACAGCCAACTCATGAGAATAGCCAAAAGCAAATACCAAGTGTTGGTTAACATGCAGAGAACTTGGACCCTCGAGCAAGTTGGCGACTGTGTAAATCTTGCAGCCACTTTGGAGAACAGTTTTGTTAAATTCTGGCAAATTGGCCTGATGAGCTTATTCCAATGTGTGTAATAACATACAAAAAGAAATTTTAGCACAAATACTTCTCTATAAGTGGAATGAAATCCAGTGGCCAGAAACTTGTGACTGGATAAGCAAATGTGCTCTATCAATAAAATGGAATAATACCTATCCAATGATAAATACATTGATCCATGCCAAAGCATGAAAGAATGTCAGTAATACTTCAGGAAACAGATGTGCGTTGCCTGAGGCTTAGCGTGGATGAGGGTGGGACATGAATTTAGATCTGAGTAAGTCAATTTTAGCAGTTGTTAATTTAAAAACTGTGCTGTCTTTGACTGGGAGCTGCCTCGGCAGGGCTGGGTTAGGCTGTAACTCCCACCAGTGTGAGCTGGAACTGGGAGTGGTGCCTGGCCCAGCCAGGCTACAGCACTTACTGGCAAATGCCATGGTGAGTTGGGCCATGCCTGAAAGGGCCGCAGTGCCCAACCAGCACACTCAAGACCTCTCGGTAAGGAATTAACACAGTAGGGAGGCTGCATAGGGCTTCCCTGCTGGACTGCTACTCCCGCTAGTGTGTGAGAGCTGGAATTAGGGGCAGACCAGGCTTCTCAGGGCTACAGCACCTGTTGGCCTCATGTGAGCTGGATCAGGGGAAAGCCATACTGTTCATATTGGTTCATGCATAAGCAGAGTGGGTGTGGATTGGTTGGGCTTTCTCACAGCATCAGCTGGTAGAGGTGGGCAGAGGGGCGAATTGTGTCAAGTTTAACTATAGAACCACCTGGAGAGTCATGTGCCAGGAGTGGGAGTGGCCCAGTAGGGAAGTAGTGGGCACCTCCCTCTTTGGTTGCCACTCTGACTGCTGAGCATAAGAACCAGGACTGGGGCAAGCATGACTAGACAGAGAGCAGTACCTGCTAGCATGTGTGCGGACTAGATAGTGGGGCTGATTGTATTGAACTAGGCTTCAATGTCCATTGACATGTATGAAAGTTGAATGAGATGTGGGACAAACTGGACTAGTCTGTTGTACATATTGGCAATCATGGGAAGCAGGGAAAGGGGCAGGCCTGGGAATTATTTGGAGTCACCCCAACTAAACTAAAGCTCCCACTGGTTTACGTGGCCAACTGTGTGATATGTGGGACCAGGCTGGGCAACACCCATTGGTTTGCATAGAGGACATTGCTGGAGATAGAACTGACCAGCAATCTCAAACACCAGTGAGTGAGTAAGCAGATTGGGGTGACAAACTGTGCCAGACCCTGTATCAGCAAGCACACACAAGAATCAGGTCTGGGAACGCCTCAAATGAGATTTGTTTGGGGATCCCCAAGTTGAATCCCTGGACACAGAACTTCAACCGTGAAGAGAATTGCAGAGTCCATGATCTGACTGTGGAATGCTTGTGTCAGAGCTGGGCATTCTCAGTGGCTCAGATGGAGCATGGAGGATATGACAGTCCTTTGGAACCCACAGAGGACACCTGGTATCAGAAAAGACGACAGAGGACAACACAAATCAATCATCTACCGCAGCCAAGAGTTGGCAGTAAATATCTGAGCAAATGGAGACTCTAAGGTGGACTATGTCAGCCAGTGGATTCAGGAGACATTTCATCATGCTTGAAGTGGCGCGATTGGCAGCAATTCAGAGCTGTTGAACGATCGTAACCATTTGAGCAGAGCCCTTGGAGCAGGCCCCACACAGGGGACCCTGGGATGGTTAGGAGGCTGGATATGGCTTTTCTCCTTCTCTCCCCTTCTCCCAGATGCAAGAAGGAAAAAAGAGAATGTGATAACAATGGTCTTATCCACTTTCCTGTAGCCCTTGACCTTTTGCACCTTAATCTAGTAAACATTATCGACAAAATAAAAATAAAGAGGAGAAAAAACCCTGTGCTGTCATGTTTCCATAACTGTATGCATGTGTCAAAACTGATTGATTACAAACAGGTGTATTTTGTGTTTTTTTGTTTGTTTAGTTTTTATTATATTTTTGACAATCTTTACATAGTTAATTAGGGTAAAAAGGTTTAAGGGCTATAGGAAAGTGGGTAAGAGTGTTATTTCCATATTGTTTCCTTCAAAAAAACAGGTGTATTTTGTGATGAGAAATTACCTAAGTGAAGCTGCTAAAAGCTATGCTCACTCCAAGTTGAGACTTTCAGGCTATTTTCTGTTTTCTTTTTTTTGTTAAGTTTTTGCTGTTACTGCATACATGCATTGATTGTGTGAAGATTGAATCAAATTTTTCAGCATTTCCATGTGTTTAAACAGGTAAAATTTTAATAATTATTCATTGTACATATGTACAGTATCCCCTGTGACATTACAGTAAATGTGTCCAGTGTGTATTCATCAAACCAGGGTGCTGAATGTTTCCTTCTCTTTGTCATTTCTTTATTACTGGAGCTATTGAGCTTCTGCTTTCTGTTTGCCCAGAAATTATACAAGAAGATTTGGTGAACCAGAGTCAGCCCACTGAGCTATGGAGCCCCAGGAAATTATTCCTTCTGCCTAACTCTGTTGGAAAGCATGTGTCTATATTTAATTAAAAGAATGATATTGAAGGCAAAAACAACCATCTGGAGGGAAGACTACCATACGACTACCTGTGGGACTTCTGAAAGTCGCATCCATTTACTGGACAAATTTACAACAGGGGACCATTTAGCTGAAAAGCTTCATTTTGTCAGCAAAAAGGAGAAATACTACTATAGTTACCCTTTAAAAAATTACCCTTACACAGCTAGTTGCTTCACAATTGGAAATAAAACTACCTAGCAAATGAGATGAAAATATTGTTTCTAAATTATAATGGGAATGTATTGACATATTTTGGGAAATAGTAATTGCAGAGCCAGTAATATTAACCTATCTAAATGGCTCTTAGGTGTCATCACCAGATAATTCCTTTGTAGGCACAGACTCAAAACAAGAAGAACGAATTGGGTAAGATTGATATTTACCAGTATCAATATACAGTAGCATGCTTCTTATTTCATACCAAGGGGGTTCTCTCATATGACCAATGATATTTATTTACATAAAAAATACAGTTATAAAATAGGTACTGAAAGATAGAAATAGCTACCTACATAGTTGCCAGGACTGACAGTTTGTTCTACAACGCAAGATAGTGTACATTTCCAAAGAAAGGACAAATGTTGGGAAGTAAAGCAAAATTGATGTTGCCATTTATATTGGTCTCATGTGTTTGAAAAGTTGGCTTGTTATTTGTCAAATATTACAGGCAATGATATTAAATTAAGTCTGGGAGCTGGCACTGTGACATAGCACACCAATCCTCTACTTGCAGGGACAGCATCCCATATGGGCACCCAGCTGCTCTACTTCTGATCCAGCTCTTTGTTTAAGACATGGAAAAGTAGTGGTGATGGCCCAATGCTTTGAGCCTTCAAATCCCTGTCAGACCCTGGAAGTTGCTCCTAGATGTAAGCTTCTGACCACTGAGCTCTGTCCATTGTGGCTGTTGGGGTGTGAGGTAGCAGATGAACAGTCTCTCTTGTCACTCCTGCTGTCTGTAATTATGACTTCCAAATGAATGAATAAATGAATGAAGGAATGGTCTACAAAAGCACAACCCAAATTGCTAACATGTCTCATTGCATTGAAAAGTGGCAAAGGTTTGTGAATTGATTAGCAGTGTTAAGTTCTACTTTCAGGGCCAGTGTAGGTCAAGCCACCATCTGCAGTGTTCAGCATTCCCAATATGGGCAATGGTTCAAATCCCAGCTGTTTTACTTTCATTCCGGGTTCCTGGTAATGTGGCTGATTGTCAAACTAAAATAGCCCAAATGTTCGGGTCCTTACAACCTGCCGGAACTGAGGGGTGAGTTCCTGGCTGCTGGCATTGGAATGGTGCAACTCCAGTCACTGAGACCATTAGAGGAGTAAAACGGGATGGCTCATCTCCCTCCTTATTTCTCTCTCCCTCTTTCTCTCCTTTTAAAAGAAATAGAATTAACTCTTTTTAAATACAACTTAGATTTCTAACATAACTTATAGTATTCATCACCTGATTTCACTTCTTTTCCAGGAATAGCCTTAGGGTAGGTGAAATATTCAATCTAGGTAGGTTTTCTAAGTTCCTAGCAAATTCTTCGTGGAAGTCTTGCATGAAATATATTAGTGAGGAGTCAATGGATGTGAGATAGTCTTTGCATTTTGATTCCATAAGGCAAAAGCTAAGCTTCCTTTGGAAAAGTAATTTTACAAAATGGTATTATTCTTCTCTAGTTTGGGTTCAGTGACATAAACATTGCTATTGCTTTCATTTTTTAAAAGTTGTAATTTAACCATGTTTTATCCTTCTATACATATTATTTCTATATGTTATACACATAGAAATCAAGAGTCCATTGGTAATATGATGGTTTTGTTTTTGTTTCCTTGCTAATAACAAGATATTCTGGAATGAAGTTGAGCTTTGAAGAGTTATTTTAGTTCTGCCATGTATTACCAGAATGAATGGGTCTTGATTCCATCACTGTCTTTGAGCCCAAATTATCATATGTTGAATTTCTTTTCTGGGAAGGTGAAATGTTATCCATATTCCAGACACTCCTGGAAATATAAGGTAGCTCAGAAAATGTTACCAAAGTCGTCTCTATTCTCATTTAACCTTACTTCACTCATTTTAAAACTGATTTTATTATTATTATCATTTTTAAGATACAGTTACATGGGCACAGGAATTTCCCCCATGACTCTTTCATACCATCCTACTATTTTACCCTCATCTTACTACAATAGTATAGTCTTTCATCAATAGTCACAGGTTAGGTCCAACATTCCTCTAAGTGTAGCAGCGCCATTGTACGGATAGATAATTGTGGAAACTCTACTTTCCAGTTATCAAAGTACTTTAACGGTTTCGTTGGGAGTCCTCCTTTTATTTGTAGTGATGCATACTGCAATGTACCTTCAGTTCCCCATATGTTAGTCTCCAGTATGCGGTCCATCTGTGAGAATATATTTATAGAATTGTTTACCTACATATCTATTTGATTTTTTGTATTTTGCATGAATGGTGCCTTATATTATATCACAGGGGACATATGACCTTTGTCTTTCATGAAATCAACTTATTTCACTGAGCACCATGGTTTCAGATTGGTATGATTTTGTTGCAAATGGTAGAATTTGATTCTTTTTAATGGCTGAGTAGTATTCCATGGATACTACCCCTTGTAGTATGTAGATATACCACAACTTGTTGATCCATTCATCTTTCAAAAGACATCTGAGTTGTTTCCGTGTCTTCACTATTACGAATTTTGCTGCAGTAAAAATATGATGGCATGACCCTTTCTTGTATGCAGATTTCAATTCCTTTGGATATTTTCCAGGTGTGTGATAGCTGGGTTATGTTGTAGAAGAACTTTCAGTTGACTGTGCACTCTCCATACTGACTTCAGTAGTGGCTGCACAAGCCTACAATCCCACCAACAGTAGAGAAGAGTGCGTTTTCCTACATATCCACAGCAGCAGGTGTTGTAAGTAGATTACTGAATGTAGCCCAATCTCCCTGGAGTTAAGTGGAACCTCACTGTGTGTGTGTGTTAAGATTTCTTTATTTTCATTGCAAAGTCAGATATACAGAGAGGAGTAGAGGCAGGAAAATCATCTTTGGATGAGTCACTCACCATGTAACTGCAGCAGCAGGTGTGAAGCCAGGAACCCTGGACCTCGGACCTCTTCCGGATCTTCCACGTGGGTGCAGGGTCCCAAGGCTTTGGGCCGTCCCCAACTGCTTTCTCAGACCACAAGAAGGGAGTTGGATGGGAAGTGGGCCACTGGGATTAGAACCAGTGCCCATATGGGATCCTGGTTCATGCAAGCAAGGATTTAGCTGCTCAGCTACCCACGCCGGGCTGTCATTGTGGCTTTTATTACTATTTCCCTAATTTTCCTATGAATATTTGCAGAGAGAACCATTAGCTAGAAAATTGTCTGCTTTTTTTTTTGAAGATTTATTTTTATTATTTATTTATTAGAAAGGCGGATATACAGAGAGGAGAGACAGAGAGGAAGATCTTCCATCCGATGATTCACTCCCCAAGTGAGCGCAACGGCCGATGCTATGCTGATCCGAAGCCAGGAGCCTCTTCCGGGTCTCCCACGCGGGTGCAGGGTCCCAAAGCTTTGGGCCGTCCTCGACTGCCTTTCCGGGCCACAGGCAGGGAGCTGGAAGCGAAATGGGGCTGCTGGGATAGAACTGGCGCCCATGTCGTTTTTTTTTTGTCTCTCTTTCTGTATGTATGTGCCTTTCAAATAAATCTTATCAAAAGAATCATTAGGTACCAGAGGAGACAAGTGCTAAATCAGGTATGATATTTAAAGTTTAAATTTGACTGATGTTACTCTGAACATTCTGCAGGTACAGGGAATAATATTATAATGATTGGAAAACAAAATCAATTAATGTGCTCCAATGAAACATAGACTTTCCCATAAAACAGTTACATTTATTAGATTTAAACTTTATGTAAAAATGAATTTTATCATATTTTCTATTCGTATCAAAGAGAGTTGACAAAGTATTTTTTTCACTCTGAGAAATAATGGTAATACTGACAGAGTGCAGGAAGCACACACTAGTCAGAGCACAAGTCTGATGTTCAGCTCTGTTCTTTCATTGTCCCTTCTACGAACCCCTTTAGTATTTGT